CTGATACCTGTGAACTAAGCAACTGCACTGAAGACAGCAATGTGTAATACTAGGGTCATGCTTGGAATGCCTGTCATTCTGGTCTTCTAAATATGTACTACTTGTCATGTCATACCAATTATGCCATACTGTCTCTCAAGTAAATGTTTATTTAAAAAAATGGAGCCAGGGATATGCCTCAGTGGAGTAAGTGCTTCCCTGGCAAGTGCAAGGGCCTGAGTTCAATCCCTGGTTCTGCCAAGGAATAAAAAAAATAAAAAAAGGGCAATAAATGAAAACAAGAGACAAGAAAAAAAGTTAAATAATCACTCAGTGGAGCATTTATTTTCTGACATATGCTTGATAAACTAGTCTTTCATATATAAGAAAAGGGACAAGAGCCTTCATTGTTAACTATAGCACCTATACCCACCTATCCCGAATGTGCAAAACTGAGAAATTATATCTTGTTTTGTTGCCTTTCATGTTGAGTTGATGCTTGCTCATTAATGAGCCTCTTCTTCCCTTGTAGAAGAAGATGATTCCTTGGCTGTGACTCTTGATTCTTCATTTGAGGACAGGAAGATGATAGCTCACATATCTGCTGCTATTTATTTATCTATTTATGATTTTTGAGACAGGTTTCTCTATGTAGTTTGGGCTGGTCTTGAACTCACTATGTAGCCGTCGATGGATTGAAGATGCTCTAGCGTCTGCCTCCTGAGTGCTGGAATTCCAGGCACGTACCACCACTCCTGAGTTAGCTGACATTTTAAAACTGGATTTGTTGCTGTTGTTTGTAAGAAACCTGAAAGTATTTCAGAGCAGCCACTTTCTTCAGCAGCATGGGGAGTATTGGTTGACCTATGAGGAAACAGCAGCAAATAGACCCTTTATTATCTGAGCAGAGTATAGAAAACTTAAAAGGGCCCACATCCACAGGGCATCAACACAGGTAAGAGATGTGTCCAGATGCCATGGAGTATGGGATAGTCCCCTCATGAGAAAATGTCCGTGCTGTCCGTCAGCTGACACAGTAGACAAACTTGCTGTTCCCTGCTTTCATTCATTACTTTGAGGAGCCCTGGCTGGCTGAAGAGCACTTTTCATGCAACCGCATTGTAATGGCAGCCACAGAGCCATCTTGTCTCCAAAGAGCATAGCAGATCTGGAAATCACTCATGGAAGTGGCTTGAGAACTCTTTGTAGCAATTCCGAAAATGAGGCCAATGATTATGCCTCTGTTACCCACCCAGACACACCTGAAAATGTGTTTTGAATCCCCTGGGCTGTTCTCAAGTCCATCAGTTAACAACACAGCTGAACTCTCACACTCCTTTTCTCTTCTTTTTCCTTCCCTTTTTGAAAGGAAAGAATATTTACATAAGATCAGACTGAGAGGGTCAGGAAGAATAATTTTCCAGAACTCAAATAATAAATGCTCTCTTTTACTTATATGACTTTGGTAACTGATAATCCTAGAGTAAAATTTCTGACATCTTGGAATATGTCATTATGTGAAGAAAGTTATAATTTTTTTAAAAATTTTATTTATGGGGCTGGTGAGATGGCTCAGTGGTCTAAAGCACCTACTTAGAGCAAGCTTAGCAAAGCAAAGGGACCACGGTTCAATCCCCCAGCATCACATGCCAGCCAGCCCCGCCCCCCCACGTGTGTGTGTGTGTGTGTGTGTGTGTGTGTGTGTGTGTGTGTCTGTGGCCAGCTCAGCTCACCAGGGGGCGGGGCTGGCTGGCATGTGGTGCTGGGGGATTGAACCGTGGTCCCTGTGCTCTGCTAAGCTTGCTCTAAGTAGGTGTTTTAGACCACTGAGCCATCTCACCAGCCCCGAGAAATTTATAATTCTAAGAAAAGAGGAGGGAGAGAAGTCATGCTCCTGTCATAACATGACAGGTAATTATAAGTATTGTGGTAATTATAAGTATCGGCTTATACAGAGAAGTGTATGATTGGATGCTACACTAATACAGAACATAACCTAACATTGAATCTCATCTCACTAGTATCTATATAGGCCAAAGAATTACCTAAATTGTTTGAGCCTTACATGATTATTATAAAAATTAAGTTAACTAAGGTACACAAGTAATTTAGATTACAAAGTGGCACATTTAAAGACTCAATTTAATTATTTCTTACGTTAGTCAAATTCATTATCATAGAAAATAAGTCATAGCTCAGATTGATTTTCTTCTGTAAGTCTTTGCCTGATGAATCCATTGTCTTGTAGTTTTTTCTTTTTCTGTGAATAACAACAATTTTTACTGAATGTGGTTTTGATTTTGACCTCCTTTATTGTGCTGCAGTTTTATATCTCAGTCACTTGACCTTGAACATACACATACATATATCTTACATTTGGTATTTGGTCATGACAATGACAATGATAATAACATTAAAGATGACACAACTGATGAAATCCTATAGCCGGAATAAATGTCATACCCAAAGCCCACCAGAAAGTCACACTTTGAGGCGGTGAAACATGCGGACCATGGCTCGCCGGATCTCCTTTGTCTTGGCGCTGTAAATGAGTGGGTTTAGCACAGGAGGCACAAAGAGGTAGATATTGGACATGAGGACATGGATGTAATGTGGGATATGCTTCCCAAAGCGGTGCACTGTGGAGACCCCAATCATTGGTACATAAAAGGCAAGTACAGCCAGGATATGAGACACACATGTGTTGAGAGCTTTGAAGCGTTCCTCACGGGAAGCAATGGCTAGAACAGACTGCAGAATGAGCACGTAGGAGAGGAAGATAAAGAACAGGTCCATGCCAAAAGTAGACACGAGGACAAAGAGTCCGTAGATGCTGTTGATGGTGATATCAGCGCAGGCAAGCTTCATCATATCTGGGTGCAGACAATAGGAGTGGGAAAGAACATTGGATCTGCAGATAGGAAGCCTCTTGATGAGGAAGGGAAGAGGAAACAGGGTGATAATGCTCCGAGCAGTGACTGCTAAACCCACCTCAGAAATGACTTTATTGGTGAGCACAGTGGCATAGTGTAGTGGATCACAAATGGCCACGTAGCGGTCAAAGCTCATGGCCAGCAGAATACCTGACTCCATCATGGAGAAAGAGTGAATGAGAAACATCTGGATTAGGCAAGCATCAAAAGCAATGTTGCGGGCATCGAGACAGAAGGTTCTGAGTACAGTGGGCAATGTGGCCATGGACATGGCCATGTCACTGAAGGATAACATGGACAGGAAGTAGTACATGGGTGCATGGAGGCTGGGCTCTGTTCGCACAGCCTGCAGCACCACTGTGTTTCCCACAAGGGCCGCAGCATACATCACACACAGGGGCCCTGCCAGCCAAGGATGAGAGCTCTCCAGACCAGGGATGCCAGTCAGGAGGAAGGAAGCAGGGTGAGTGACGTTGAACCAGCCCATGTCAGCAAGAATCCAGGGACACTCTCAGGGCCAGCTATTCTGAACGGGAAAACCCTGACCGGCGTTTTTATTAGAGACCAAGAAACCAGGCAGTGGGAGATAAAGCAGACGATGTCTCCACAACTGGAAGCAGATGCATTTGTGACATCAAGGGTTTCAGGATAAGGCAGGCAAAATTTCTTTCTTTGTATTTTAAGGTTTTCAGACCCCAGGCAGGGCTAATATGTCTGCATACGCTATGAAAGAAGAAAAACATTTGTAATGATTTAAAAATATCAATTAATTATTAGGAAAATATTCCCACCACATTATTCACATCTTTCATGTATTTTAGAATCACTATCAAACAGAAATGTATTAACTGTAATCATACTTAGTTATTATAGAAAGAAATCAGGAGTTGGAATCAACAGGTCTTGGATGTGTTTACATAATGCCTCAAAAATGCTGCTTAATTCAGAGGTTTCACTACTTAATGAGATACTTGCCAAGAACCCTCTTAAATCATAGTGCTTTTGCCTGCGTAGCAAAGAAAACGATGGTGGGATGGAGAGGAAATTGACCGCCCTTGTATATTGCTTTTCGTTGGCAGACTTGGTACAAAACCAGCAATAAAAATGTCAAAACTATATTAGCAAAGCCTGAAGGCTTGATCTGTTTTTGGAAAGATCATGAGCCATAAATATTCTGTAGATACACTAACATTCAGTCTGTAGCAGAGTGTTTTGTCATACCTACGCACAGTCCTACATAATAATGGCTCTAACAATAGCATTATCTTTATCTTATTTTTTAAATTTTATGTATTTGGAACAGGATCTCACTATTTAACTCATACTCACAGTGATCCTGCTGTTTTCAGCCTCCCCGGTGCTGAAAACAGGTGTGCACCACCACACCTGGGCTTAGTTGCCAGCTCAGTGTGCCGGGGGCAAGGCCAGCGTGGCATGTGGTGCCAGGGATTGAACTCTGGTCCCTGTGCTTGCTTATGCAGGCACTTAGTTCTCTGAGCTATCTTACCGGCCCTAAAATAGCATTACTGAGAGACACAGTCATGTTCCTTCAAATCAGCATTATACTAGGTTTCATTTGTCCTCTATAAACCTACTCTCCCACATGTATTCTCTTTCTCAAACATCATTTATTATTGGGCCCATGTACTCACACACATTTTCTTGACATCACTTGTTATGTGCATATATGCTGTCAAGCTCATCCTGTCCACCTACAGAATGTCTGCCGAGCTCCCATAGGTAAACATTCTCAGTGTATACTTATAAACACTTCCACCTGCATGCTTGCAGCTTGTCTACCACATTAATCTGGTTATACTAGTAACCTCCATGTATGTTATTTAAGCATGGTTTTGCTACTCATGATACTCATGTATTACTGAATTCTCATTATCATTTCTAAGAGTGCCCAAATTGTTTATTCTCCTCTCATGCATATATATATATATATATATATATATATATATATATATATATGAATACAACATAAAATAGTGGGTTGGGGAAATAGTTCTGTGGTCTAAGTGCCTGCCTGGTAAGTGCAAGGACCTGGATTCAATCCCTGGTACTGCATGCTGTGCTAACCCTGGAATGCAAGGCATGCCGTGCCTGCTGCATAGCTAGACTCTATAACAAATAAATAAATGAATAAAGAATTAAGTAGAAATTAAAAAAGAATACAAAATAGTAAACACAAAGCACTAAGAACAGTACAAAAATTCATCAAACAAAGTAACAGGAATTAAACAATGATTGCTGTGTTCCATGATGCTATTTTCAAATTAGTTGTTTATGTTACCAAGCATAAACATGCAAAGTTGGTTGTGAAAACAGAACAAAACATCAACAAAATGAAAGTTATGAGAAATTAAAAAGAAAAAAAAAGAATGAAAAATTTAAAGCATTACCTTCTCCTTTAAATAGGCCAGCAGAAATCTTTGAAATGTTCTCATGTTCCTTGCCTTGTGGAAGATACTGATAGAGAGAGCCAGAAGGGTTTTCCCAGGAAAGAGGTATTTGAGGCATACAGTGCCCCTTACTTTGGAAAGACATGCATACAAAAAATTCATAATAGAACTAAGTACAACTATCTTCCCTTTCTCCTTTCTTCCTGTGCTCTCATGAAGAAATATCAGACTATTGTTCAAAAGCCTTTTTTAGAGGACTGGATAAGGAAAGGATTCCCGGAGTCCTGGGTGTCTAAACTGACCAGAGATGATGGAATCTTATGCAATGCGCTGTTGTCCGCTTTAGAAACCACTTCTAGGATCTCCCAGGCAGGACTAAAGTCATGCATCCGTGGTTCCCTGCAGGGCAGTGGTGACCACTCCTTCTGAAATTACACTGATTTCAGGTCTTCTGGCCCTACATCTCTGTCTGTATAAACTTCATTCTTCTAGAATTATGATTCTTTGTGATCTAAAAATTGGTCAGTCTGAATTGCTTCTCCCAGTGCCCCACAATTCCTTATAAAGTCATCCAGACGGTAATCAGTAAACACAGAAGACAACAGGGCTAACAGGAAAGGAACAGGAGAAGGGGAAAGGAAGTCTCTGGGAGGATTCTGTACAGGCTATGATCACTTTCATTCTGAGTCTGGGGATATAAATATTAGAAGCTTTGGAGAACAGGATGCCTGCCAGTCTTAGGATCACACTCCTCCCCATATTTTGGTACCCCAACACTGTGGGTTGTTGGAATGATTGTGAACAAAGGAATACAGAGAAGGAAAGCAAGTGCTTCCTTGACAGAGGCAGAAACTGACTCACAGAGATTGGCTTATGGTGACTAGGTGTTAAAACTAAAATTTACAGGGCTGGTGAGATGGCTCAGTGGTCTAAAGCACCTACTTAGAACAAGCTTAGCAAAGCATAGGGACCGCGGTTCAATCCCCAGCACCACATGCCAGCCAGCCCCGCCCCCTGGTGGGCTGAGCTGGCCACACACACACACACACACACACACACACACACATAAATAAATAAATAAAATTAAAAAAACCCTAAAATTTACACAAATATCTGTAGACAAGCCCCTTACTTGCATAATTCTTTCAGGCATCATTAAGGCATTGGAAAGAAGGTAGAAGGAAAATAGAAGAGTGCATTTCCTGGATGGAGGTTTCTTAGGTGTCTCTGAACAATGGCATTGCTTAGGGAGTCATTCAAGGCAGGAGCCTATGACAAAAGTGAAGCAGAAAGCACATACACCAAGGCCGGGTTCAATTTCTGTTACTCCTGGAATCCAAAGCTTTTCTGTTATTGAAGCCATATGGAGAGAGTGTGGTTTACTGGCAAGGCCCTCCTGGGGTAGGATTGAGAAGTGCTAGATTTTACCCTGGCTCTGTATCTGTGAGCCTGGAAAATCTACTTTTTTGATGGCTGTGTCTTCCTCATGACTCTTAATGACACTGTCTAAGATTCTTTGTGGTACTGATGATATTTCATTGTATTTTACTTTTTAATGTCCCATTAAGCAATATGTAAGTGAGGTTTTCAGGCTGAAGAAAGGAATAGAAAATAAGGTACAGGTTTTACATGCAGTAGAAAACTGTCTGGAGATCTCTGTCTTTGGTTTATACCATAGGCATGGTTAGCTGTCCATGGTTCACATGAAGTCAGGACTAGCTGATCATATCTATTATTTTAGTCTCCTGGGGGATCTTATCATACATTTTATTGCAGAATTCATAAAGTAACAACAAAGCCTGAGTCAGGGATGTCGATACCTTTGCTAAGTCCTAAGACCTGCTTCCGTCCCAAAATTTATAGCGATATTAATGTACCACAGAAGTTTCAGCCTTTCAAGCTTGTGTTCCCAGAGGAATTGATAATATCAAGTGATCTAAAGAATTACATGGTGTTTCTTTTGTGTCAAAAGAAGAACCCTAAGTCCTTTCCATCCATTCTCCTCATGCTATTGAAATGCTGCTGTCCGACTCTATCTACCTGCTGTCCCTCACCTCTACCTGTGTTCCTTGGAACAGGCTTGGAGAAATCAGGGGACTCCTCCCTCAAGGCTTTAGGACTCACCAGCAGACGAGAATTACCCTCAGAACAACATGTCCTTCCACCCACTGAAGTAACTTCATGCCTTCCGCTTTTATATTTCACTCTAAGCCCCAGAGAGAGAAAATAAGGCTGAATTTGTGTTTGAGAATTCATCAGGGGAGTTTCTGTCTGCTGAGATTGTTAATGATTATTGCCAATGAGCCAGGCACTTTTTTAGCTAAAAGGAACCAACAGCTTGCCAGCCCAATTCTCTACCAAACATCATCATATCAAATTATCTGCATGAGCAGGCATTATGAAAGAGGAGCTTCTTGGTTTCTAAAAGAGCACAGGATTATGCAACATGTCAACTATGAAGTTGACAAATGAAATGCAGTGAAAAGGCAATTAATTTTATTCTTGTCATTTTAAATGTATTAGAGGGGTCTTCATGCCTTTAATCCTAGATTAAAACTCCCTTCTGAACATTTTATGCCCATATTAAGTTATTAAAATCACCTCTGGTGAGTGATTACAATGTCAGCCTCAAATACTCAATCGTTGGACTGTCGCATAGCAGGAGTTGCAGTCCCCATGTATCTCAGTTGTCACTCACTGGCCATGTTTTCTGGCTCCTTCTCTATGAAAGGAGTGTGAAGTGGGAGTCCACACTTCAGTGATGCTGAAGTCAGCTGGATTAGAGTTAGTGGTCTGTTCAGTGTTTAGAGATGGCTCTTACATTTTGGTGCTGTCACAGATTATTCAAGAGAAATCTTCCCTCATGCTTTAGCTGTGCTCTTTTTATTTACACTAACAAATCCATGCTCTCCATGGTTATTTATGATCCCATCCAGAACCTAAACTCTCCTTTAGGGTCATATGCTTGTTTGGACAGGATGGAATATTGTGTAGCTCTTGTAGATCTCTCTGGAAGGTAACCCATTTAGGAAGCAGAAACAAATGTCCTAACACAGCAATCATTTCTCATTCAATTCTGGTATCAAAGAAGGATGGAAAATTTCATTAGTTTTAGATTTTAT